GGGTTCACTGACCAAATGTTTTTACTTAAGGTTAACTGATACAAATGTAGCATGTTAGAAGTAAGAATAAATATTGTATTGGGATTTTTTTTTTTTTTTAAAGGAGCTCTACTGCATTTACATTAAAGCCCTAAACTTTCTTAATAAACTCAATAAGATGTTCTCTTGAATTCATCTTTTAAAATTAGTGTCTGAGAAGAACAAAGCTGAGGAACCGTGGACAGTTCATCATAAAGAAGAAGCAAAGAAATGCAAATGTGGCCACTTTTGGAAGGGTGTTACCTTTGCCATAAATTGGAGGTAAATGCATATGATACAGAGGAGTTGGCAATGCCACTCTAAAGATAGGGAAACTGAAGAGACTGAAATCTCCATAAGGTCTTTTCAGTAGCTACAGCTTATCACTGATGTTATGGGAGTGGCCAAAGTTGTTTGCTTATAGTTTTGAAACATTTGTGCATTGCCATCACTAAGAGAGAATAAGAATAACATATCTTCCACACAGAGAGTCTCTCAATAATACTGAAGAAGCAAGAGTTTTCAGGAGCATTCAGCTCATGGTTTTCTACCAATTAAGGTAATGTCAATCGGTTTAATGCTTACACTAAAGAATATGCATACTATTGAAGAAAGGCTGAGAGGTCCCAAAGACATCCTGTTTTGGACAGTGCTGACAATAAGCTTGCATTTGTGCAGCTGCCCAGTTATACACTGTGCTAATTTCCCTGCAGCTCCTTTTGCTAAAGGAAAGAATTAAAGGCAGAAACAGTCTATGATTACTTTCAGAGAAGTGATCTGGAAGGACACCAACAGGCTCATTCCATGACCATGTTGTGGTTTTCAATCTGGGATTTTGACAATATTTTCCAGTAACATTTGTCCTTGCCAGGACAAATTCTTCCCCTGAGCTGAGCACAGTGCAGTGCCAAAAGGGTCTGAGTCTGAGTCCATGCCAGGGAGGATTAGATTTGTTCAATGCTGACCTGCTCATGAGGAAAGCACTCCATAACTGCATCCCGGTTTTGTGTCCCTTCAAGTTCTAGCACCCATCATAGAATCAGAGACTCACAGAATCATCTAGGTTGGAAAAGAATTTTCAGATCACCAAGTCAACCTGATCTACAGCATCCAATCACTAATCCATGTCCCTTAGTTCCATGTCCACGCCTTGAGGCTGTTTCTTGTGACCTACTATTTGTTACCTGGGAAAAGAGACCGACATCCTTCCTACTGCAACCTCTCAGGCAGTTTCAGAGCACGATAAAGTCACCCCTCAGCCTCTTCTCTGGACTAAACGACCCCCATTCCCTCAGTCGCTCCTCCTAACACTTATTTTTGAGTCCTTTCACCAGCTGCATTGCTCTTCTCTGCACATGGTTGAGCAACTCAACATCCCCCTGGTAGTGAAGGGCCCAAAGCTGATTACAGTAATTGAGGTGCAGCCTAATCATATTAGAACTAATTCTAAAATTAATAGAGCATGTGTTGACACTAGCCAAGGCACCTTATTGAGGTATCGTGTGCCTTAGTTTGAAAAAGGCCAGTTAATGTTGCATTTTGGCTCTTCACTGTCTTTTCTTTGTTAAGTGCAATGGTTGTAGGCAATAAGGGCCATAGTGCAGATGTACAATATAATATGAAAATCTTAGCATATTATTTTCTAACTAGAAGATCTTACTATTATACCAGAATTAGTTCTTTGGTAACCAGTAGTATAACAAAGACCTTTTAAATTATATAATGAGCATGCCAGAAAACTACTTCTACCCAAAGAAATGTGACATCGTTTTGCTGTTGTGATTCCCGGGGCCGTGCAGGAGCCGTGGGGTTCAGCGACCAAGTACTGAACAATAGCTGCCTCCCAAAGACATCGCGCTCTGCAAAGCAAAGAATTTAGACTTTGGAGCTCCCTCTGCTGGTTCTGCATCAACTTCCACTCCAAAGTGCTTTCCCTCTCCCCACCTGCTGATTAGCACTTAAACAATGAGAAATACCAACGCATTGCTTATAAAGGCATCTAGCTGGGATAACTGATATTACACTGGAAAAAAAACTGACATTCTCTTAAACAGGGGAGAAAAGGCTTCTGCTAAGTCTAGTTTACTGGGCTTGCATGGTGCCTGCAGAGGAATGTTCACTAGAAACACATCCCCTTATTGCCCCATGCATCCATCAATCACTGATATCCACTACTATCACTACTCTAATATGTGTTGGTTTGCTGTAGTCGGTATAAACAAAATACACATGAAGTAGACACTGAGAACGCTGTGCAAAATAGCTCAAGCACATAACACTAAGAAACTAGGAATAGGTCTTTATACTCATTCTTCATACATTCTGCATGTTACGTGGCCTAGAACTTCCCTCATTTTTACTCAAAATATTTTCCTTCTACTCCCCCGTATGTAAATGACACTATGGAAGTGAGTTTGCCATCCAAAGCCTGCAGGCAGGTTCAACACACCACACCATGCAAACACAGGGATTTCAGTGAAAGCTAAAAAGCAGCTGAACAAATGAGAGAATACAATCATGCACAGGAAACAGTGCATGTCCAAGGTATTGTGCAAGTTCTGTTTCATCTACATAACCATCAAAGAGAATTCATTCTATCCTGCAAAAGTTAAAGTTTTCTATTCCAACTGTTTTATAGTTAATTTACAAATAGCTTTGGCTTTAAAATGTAAATTTTCATACTGCTCAAATGTCTTCTGAATAGATTAGGGGCATCTGAAAACAGATGCTGGAACTTTTCTACCTCATTCCGTGTAGCTATCACCTTCTTCAAGTTAAGCTGCAAAAAATCCAACCAACATGAATTCTGGACATGAGAAATTGCCTATGAAAAACTCCAACAATGGTGTACACCCCTCAATGAGGCTAATGAAATGCTGATGGGAGACCCACCATGAAATTACAGGAATGGCTGATTAAATAAAGCTAGCATTTAACAGAACAATATCACTCCAAGCAAAAGCATAAAAGATCACAGCACCTCTTAGGGGTGATCAGAGATGGAACTTTTCAACATGTGAACAATGTAATTCACATTTTTTTAAACCACTGAAATAGTAAAAAAAAAAAAAAAAAAAAAAAAAAAAACAAAAACACCCCCAAAACACACCCCCACCCCCCCCCCCCCCCCCCCCCCCCCCCCAAAAAAAAAAAACAAAAAACAAAACCACAAAAAACAAAACAACCAAACCAAACAACCAGAAAAACCCAAAATCTCTAGTATTTTCTCTGTGTTCACTGAGAATGGCATTTCTAATTCCAGTTTGCTGGAATAAAAGGCTTCTTGCAGAAGCTCAGAGTACTGAAAACTGGATAAGGGACTTGGAGCCACATGCTGCTGAACTGAACCTAGTGAAGGTCATCATGCTAAATTCATTGGAAATGATCTTTACAGTTCTTGCAGAAACTGCAATGACCCAAAAGGGGTGATTTGAAACTTTTCAGTCTTCCTAATGTTTTGTAGTTTATTTAAAATGATTTTGGCTCATGTCTTTGCCATTTATTTAAACAAGGAAAAGACTGATTAGTAACGTTAATGGCTAGCTATAGAGTGGAACAGTCAACTATAAATATTCCGAAATTGTAAACCAGATACCACAACTTATTTTTCCTCTTAAAAACATTAACTTGTCAAAGCTTAGGTATAGTTTTCCTACTCCTGGCTAAAATAGTAGACTAGATGGCTCTCAGTGTTTCCTCTGGTGCAAAGCTTTCAAAAAACATTTTATCTTCATCGTTTAGCCTTCTTGTTTCACATTTCTGAGTTTTTCCGTTGGCATCGTTATCTGTAGGTATTGCTCAGAATGAAAGCAGAGACTGCTTACATCAGTACAGCACTTGGGATTTGATAAAGGAGTGGCAATAACACCGTACCACTGTGATCCACAGTGCAGAGGACCCACGCACAAACGTTTTGAGCAGTACAATGCTGATCCAGATCCACCAGCTCTGCTGAAGCACATCAGTCAGTACTTACACCAATGTATAAATGCCTACTACCCCAATTCCTCCCACCACTCAACACTCTCTCAATTGAATTTTGGAGCTCTCAGTGGGGCGTAGCCCTCCTAACAGCTGAGGTCAATTTGTGCTCTGAAAGAGTCTCTTAAAATATCACTCTAGTGCATGGACACCATTCACACCTCCACACACAAAGCCAGGCATTCTTACACCTCCACTAGAGATGAATAGAGTAAAGCTGCCATCCTTTAAGTATACAGTGGATGTGAAGCTGCTTGCTCCCCTGGTCTAGATCCTTACCTCCAGAGAATGGAGCCAGGCTAGAATCAGAACCACACATGCAGCTGCTTCGAGAGCTGACTCATTTCTCTCACGATGAAGATGTTGCTTCCATCCTGTGTGATTTTGTTTTGACAGATGAGCATCGGTTTGTGGAAGTTGGTGCCTTGAGACTGAAGGATAGAGAATGGAGATAGGAAAAGGCAAATGGCACTTCTGGAAATTAGTGGTACACTTACCTAATGTCTAGCAGTGAAAATGAGCAACACATGAATGCCACTGAATGTGGAAGACAATCATATCTGGGAATTTGCAGCTTCCACCACTCCTGACAACATGCTTTCAACTGCTGTTAAGTGTGGAGTTATTATGCTGACAGTAGCAGCAGGCTGATCTGGGACCTACTTGCTGATAGTCAGAACATGACAAACTCCTTCTGAGCAGTCAGTCACTTAGATTTGCTGTAGGAGCTTTCCTGTTGGGGATTTGTTCAAACAAAGTTTCCCTTTTCACATAACCCAGTTGTAGCTCTCTCATGACTATTGAATTGGAATTAAGAAATGTTGCTGGTTAAAATTTGACTACCTCCAAATTTATCTTTTCCTAAGCTGCACTGTGGAAATATATTTTATTTGTACAATATTTACATGATTATGCAATGCATATATGTTATGCACATATTACTGTATTTATTCTGTGAATAATTGTTTGCAGTGGTAAATATGCACACTTTTTCAGAAGAATCAAACCTGCTAGATATATTTTCACAGTCTTTTCTAAAATAGTCATGCTCTTTACTCGGTAAAGGACAATGTTAGTCCTTGGAACTATTAACATTCTCCTGCCTAGCAGGAAGGAAAGCATTGATAAGCCAGAGAATATCAGATATCAGAGGGAGATGACATAATTAGCATTCATTATTAATGAAGCTATTGCCTCATTCACGTGAAATACTGAACACTTAATACCCTGCTTACCTCATCTTCCCATCAATGAATACATTCCCTCTGTGGTGTTACATGTCTTCACTTGGGAGATCTGTTCAAGTTGAATCCATTAATTAGAAGTTTCAGTTCTGCTTAGGTTGACTTTGCTTTGCCTTTGGCTTTAGTTCACTATATAATTCTGGTGCACATCACATTATGATAAGTAACACAATAATGTACATATCTGACGACAACCATGACACTCAAATAACTGTCCTGAGATTAACACGAGCAACGAGCAAACTCAGCCATGTAGGGTATTTTTTTTTCTGCTTACTAATTATTTAGAACTAAAAGCAGCACATGAACAGGAATAAAACTAGCTGGCAGTGTAAGAATGTGTGAGCAGAGTAGCTGATACCCATGGCACATACAATCTTTTTTTGTTTGTCTTCTGCCACATTTTTTTTGTGTCGTATCTAATATTTTCATGATGCTGGGAAGGAATTCAAGGCTATTTTTAAAGATGTTTACATGGCAAGTGATTCCTAATACAGGTTGTTTTCTGTGAGCTTAAGAACTGAGTATCAGCCCCAGAATTGCTTTAAATAACAAGGGTTGTAATTCCCATGGGAGTACCAAAAGGACTCCACTGACATTGCTTGACGAGGCAGTGACAGCAGTCCTGAACTGCAGAAAACAGCAGCGGTGAGGGCCTGGAAAGAAGGGGGTGAGGTGAGGAGGAAGCTACAAGTGGCAGGTGTCCAGGGGCAGGGGAATGGAAGCAGCAGCAATCACAGTCTGTGTCTGGTACAGCATTACCAACCATCTCCAGCAAAGCCAGGCTGGTCATGAACCACAACTTTCTACTTGCAAGTGCTGTAAGATCCTGAATGTTAAATACCACATCCCCTGCTGCCTGCATTTCAGGTAATACTGAAGGATTTAAACTGACCATTAAATGTAATTTAATAGTGTAACAGTTTAAGTTAGAGAAGTCAAAATCATTGTAAGAAAAGTGGATTGAAAAACAGATGCTGTCTCTTGTACTGCCTTCACATAAACATCTGTGGACTGCACTGTTTGCCTTAGGCAACACCTTTCCAGTGATGCCTACAATAGCTGGGTGACAAACAGTAGAATGTTGTATATGTATATACATATATATATATATATATATATGTATAATGTACAGCATGCTAAGACTCCTCTGCAAGTGAAGCAATCAATACTTGAAAACCGAGTGAAGATGAACTTAAAAACATCATTAAAAAGATTTAAAAAAATAAAGGTATGGAAGAGCCAGGTAAAGACCACAGCAAAGGTCTGGAAATAACTGCTAAGGGAGACAAGGCGGACATCTCTGAAAGCTGACTATAATGTACCTGCACCTCCTCTTTGCTTCTAACTGGAAAGCACAGATGTCAAAGTGGTATTAAAAAACAGTGACCTCAGAAACACTGGAGTTTGCACTACCCATTCTTGATTCATTTTGGCTTGCTTTTCCAATTTCTCATGTCACACTAATGGAGAAGCAAATTTCTCAGATCTCAAAAACTCAGCTCAATAAATAAACAGTTCCATTTTATAAAGTAATACACTAATTAATTCAAGAGACAATTCTCTCTTTACTGATTTAATATTGCCCTCACAAATGGATAACCATTAAAATACTGTAAAGAATGATAGGATTCAGTACGCCTAAATTCTCCAGGATTTTTTCATTTAGATACCTAAAACACACCTAGACGGTACACAGTGGCCCAGTCATGATCTTTTCAGGGTTGCCTAACTTTGTCAACAATTAAAATGTCTTAACTGATCCAGAATTCTCTCAGGTATTATCAGATTTGTTCTGATATGCTCAAAGGTGTCAACTTTTAATCTACTGAAGAGAGGTGCAAAAATGGTCTTAGGTTCTCACATCCTCAGCAAGAATGGGAGTGAACTAGTATTACCTTCTTGCTTTCTCTACCTCTAGAATACAAGTTTCATTAGTAAGGAAGGTAGCTGTCTGCATTACAAAGCATCTCAGTTTTTCCAAAAATACAGTTACCCTAATTCACTATGTAGTTATCCTGGCCCTCAGGCAGATTTTACAGTGCAACAGATTTGATATTAACAGGATATAAAGAGAAAAACCTTCTCAAACACAACATGAGCATGGAGAACATGAAAAAAAAGCCAACCCTGACCATACACGCAATTTTGTGCCATTTTGATTCTACTGATTTCAACAGGGATCTGATTTCCAGTGCACAGAGAGATGAAAGTCAACCAGCCTCCCACAAAACTCCCACACAGTTCTTTGGAGCAACTCTTAACAGAATTTTATGTATCAAATTATTCTAGATGAGGAAAGCGTCATTAATGTTAACAGCATTAGAATTAGAATTCTGATTTCTGATTCAAGATTTCTGACCCTGGATTCTTGATCAAGTTTCAGTATAGACACAGTATTTTGTAGGAAATATTTTGTTTTCAAGGGCAATACAGCCATAATGACAGAGCACCTTCACCCCATCTCTTTGGGAAGAAGGAGCACTGGGTGGCTCTGTGCTCTAGGAGAGAGGTAGATAAAGTCCACTTCTTTCGTTTCCACCAGAGTACTACTATACAATCAGTATGGACAATAATGTCTCTGTAATTTTCTCAAACTCCTAGCAATAAGTCACCAACTGCAATTACTGTTTTCATGATTTCACTGCATCACACTGAAATACTCGGGTCTTACCACTCCCCCTCATTTCCTGAAATTTTACACTATTTTAATTCACTTAGTTTCAAGGGAGCTACTGCTAACTTTAAACAAATCAAGAAAAATAAGACCTTCTTTGTGCTAGCAAGCCTCTCAAAGGATTTACTGTGCCATAAGCAACCATTTCATTCTCCGTTTACCTTGTAGGTAATAACAAGAATATTCTGTGGAGAATTCAAACACAGAAGAAACATACCAGACAAGTCACTGAAGGAAATTCAAGGCTTGCCTCTCTCTGTAAACATGTAATACACTAGTAGATTAATTTCCCATCAGACAAATGAATGACATAGGATGCAGCATGCCACAGAAGATAAACTGCGTATCAGATGTAGTAAAACACTAATCATAATTTAAATAGTCAACTAAACATTTTCTGAGGCAAAATTAAGTTGTGCTAGGTTAACTATTCACCATGAAGCTAGGTCTGATGTGTAGTTAATACTCCAGGGCTTAACACCTGCATTAAACTTACTCTGATTACTGAGAAGTTCCAGTTACCTGAAATTTGTTCTCTCTGCCATGAAGAACTGTCTGTTTATTACAGAATTGGGTTTTGATAAAATGACCCAGAATACAGATACAAATGTCTGAATCAGTGTATTTAAAACTGAAACAAAATAATAATTTTAAAAAAATCAGAAATAATAAGCCCTAGATACGTCTTCAACATTAGCAGTGTGATAAGGAACACAGCAGCCAGATGTAGCAAAGTTGTCATGATACTGATAATACGGGGATATTCAGCACAGCATGATGATAAATCACAATATAGCTAGCTATGCTGAAAACAAACATATATAAGGAAACAAAACATAATGACATAGCTTTAGCATCACCATTTTTCCAAAGTAGCACAGTCACTCAAAAGGACAATCTGTATCACACATAGTTCCGAATGCTACATGAAAAAAAGGACAACAGTCAATTAAACCTGCTCTGCCGCTACTGCTGCTGTACTCTGGATATCTGAAATGTAAGAGTCTTTGGGTTAAATCAGATCATTCAGAACAGTCAATCCACATTACCATTCTTGGGAAGAGTTTAGAAAATGAAAAGCCACAGAAGGCCTAACCTTAATCTTCGGCTGATGTAAAGTATACAGCCCTTAAAGTATGTTCACTGGTACCAAAAGGCATCCAAGATTATTTTTAAATGCTTTAGTAACCTATGGATACTGTTGATACAATTAACAGAAGGATGTAGATTCAGAAAAGCTATGTGTTAAGTAATTTAGAGAATATACACGTTACAAACTTGGATTTTTCCTAACCTCTTAATCCCATTCATAAAATGCACTCTTAATCCCAGTCAAAATCTAATGTAGCATCATCCAGCTCTGCTATTGAGAAGAGAGATTTTCGGGTGACCACACTGTCTTTACTTGCATTTCCCAATGCAAAACTCTTCCTTTTGTTAGGATTGCTCATATGCACCTTCAGCAATGGGCTGTGGCTTTCCTTGTTGTTAGTGTCAATCTTGATAGCTGGTGGAGTTTCTGATTTTGAGTCAGGACGTGACACAAAGCAGAACCTGGAAAGGTTTTCTAATGTGCTGGAGCACACTCTCACTGCGCTTGGACCACCAAGCTTCTCCTCTCCATCCCTTCTTTCTTCAGTGAGTGGAGGTGACATATCAAGTGTGACATCAGAATGCATCAGTGCATTTCCTCCCATCTCTTTCCCTAAGGCTTGACTCAGTTGCTCTTCATTTCCTTTATTACCAATGGATTGCTTTTCCAAACTCTTTTTTCCTAAACGAGTCAGTGTCATCTTGCGTTTCTCAGGTGGGCAGCAATATTTTTGCAGCTGCTCTCCCTGGAGCTGCTCTCCTGGTTTAATAGTATTACTTAGAAAAAGGGAAAATTCTGCATTTTTCTTCTCAGAAGAATGATCAAGATTTGTCCTTGGTCTGAAAGAAAATTTAGCTAGTTTAGCTGCTGGAGGACTTTCACTGCCAGTAATTTCTGGCTCACGAGAACATACTGTCTTTGCTTCCTTCCCTGCTTGACCTTTACTTCGTTTTCTCATGGAAATTACTGCATGTTTTGCTGCTGCAGATGCACTATTATTTTCATCTCCTACTATTGAGTCTGTATCACTTGAAAGATCCAGCAGGCCAGACACAGGTAATACTGAGGGAAGGGCCTTTGCTTCAGAGTTCTGTGTACTTGTAAAGAATCCATGTGATTTCTCTGTGTGCAGCCTCTGCAGGTTTTTAGAAACCCGCTGTGTAATAACTGAATCCTGCATACTGGCTCCTGTTGATGTTGGGTCTTGAATGTTTGCCTCTGAAGAAAAACATTCGTGTTCCTCAGTCCTTTTGCTGCTTATTTCAGAAACTTTGTCCTGCTCCAAAGAAGCACACAGAGTAACAGTTGTTAGTGACCCTCTCATTTCATTTTCTTTCCTTGGGATTGAAGAATTTTTTTCCTCTGAAGAGGAGGACTTAGACATGGATTTTAAAGCCACATTATCTGGAGATGTCTTGGGCACTGGAGATGTTTTCCAAAAAGTTTCTTCAGCATCAGTGTTTCTGTCTTCCAGGCTGTCAAACCATCCCAGGCTGCCATCATCACCTCTCTTGTTAAGTTTAATCAAGCGTTTTGTACGTATGTTATTACTAGGTGTTGGGTTGCACAAGGCTTCTGGGTTTTTATCTCCTTCACAATTGTTTTTGGGCAAAGGAGGCTGCGGACAGGAGTCAATCTTTTCTTGATCTGAAGGTTCTGACTGAGACTTCTGCTTTGACTCAAATGTATTTTTGTTCAAGCATCCTGTAGTAGTACTGAAACTTGTCTCTTCAGGCTCTAACTGGCAAGAATTTCCTTTTTGTAATCTGCAGAATGAAAAAAAAAAAAAAGAAGCAGTAGTCAGTTATTTTTCCAGTTTTCTTCCTTTACTGTCCTAGCGATGTTTAGTATGTATGAATGGTGAAAAGCTACAACTATTGTTCAAGTATCTGAATAATTCAGTTTCATGTACAGCTCTCCAAAAGCTGGTGTTGTGGTCTGAGCTCATTTTGATCTCTCAACACCTTCTGCATTAAGTGGCAGAATTTAAAGTTCTTCTATTATATGAGAGAAAACACTATATTGGAGAGAAAATACTATATTGACATATATTTGTAGAAATCGTTCTGAGTTATTTACTAATAGACCTATTCTGAGAGAATACACTTAAGATTTTGATGAACAGTTACAGAAATGACCTGATTCACCAAGATGTGCTGGAAGATATATGCTTGTTTTATCAGAATATGGTCTAGGGGAAATACATTGGACGAGTCTTCTAATACAGAATGGACTGTTTTAGAGAGGACGTTCATTAAGTATTCTCTAAGCTACTTAAGAGGGTGGAAGAAAAAATCATCTTAATTTGCAGTACAAGGGATTCAGGGAGATATGGAGAAAACCTTTACGAGTATTAGGATGGAGCAATACTGGAACAGACTACCCAAAAGCAATGGGAAGTCCCCTTCGTCAGGGAGCCTGAGAAGAAGATAACAGAAGTCCCTGCCAAAAAGGTCAACTGCAGACCTGATCCTCCCTTTGTGTCTGATCTTCCATCCCACACTGTATTTCAATAATCCTTTATGAACACTTGTTTCTTAAAACAAGCTTTTTTATGCCTATTGGAGATACCTCACTTTTATGTCTTTTTATTGCCACTGTGCTTAAGATGTCCTTACTGTAGATTACAAAACGAAGTCTGAAAAACATCTGAATGAAAAAATGTGTTTTCCCACCTGTTCTTATTCCCTTAGCTTTAATAATATTAATCATTCATATTCCTTTAACAGCAAGAAACTACAAGTTTGTTTAAAGCTTGACTTCATTTCAGGAAACAAATATTTTTGTATTTACTTTGTATTTATTTCCCACCAATCAGTGTTCTCCTTTCAGACCCAGTGAGTTAAAGGCTCTCTGTTAGTAACAGAAAATAGACTTTCCAGAGGTTACTGCAGTGAATTGAAAACTAGAGAAAAAACTGAAAATGTGTGTGTAAAAATAGAAAAATCCCACACGGTTCTTCTTCTCTGTGGAATTATTTTGTCACTCTGCAGATACCTGTCAAGTCTTTGTAGCTCCTTGTGCAAAAGATGTTGCAGCTCCAGTCGCTCCAATATGAGTTCACACTGCATTCGGTACTGTGCCATTGGGTTTTCTGGGAATGAGGTGTGTAAGGCATTGATGGCTCCAAGAAGTGCACCTCCCTATGGCATCAGAAAAGATTTTAAAAAAGTAAGTTCCCTTTATTATTTAGCATCAGATTTAAGCAGCAAAGACCATTTAATATAAAATTCTCTCTCAGATATTTTAAAGCTTAACGTCGCAAATATTTACTGAGGAACTCGTTACACAAATAATCTTTTTAAGTCTGCTCGACAGGCAAGGTTGCTCATACACATAGAACAATTTTATGCTCAAGCCGTTTACTCTTCCTGAGTGCTGATTTTATTTCTTTATAGAAAAACAGAATGTCCATCTAAGGCTTGAGAACATCATTACTAAAAAAAGACATTAGTAATTAAAAGTAGGCTTCCAAATACCTTGTAAAAATTCTGATCGTGTAAGCAACTTTCATAATGGAAGATGTTTTGACTGCTAATTTTCTTCACTATGTTTTTCTATTTATTTAAATGGAAAGACCTGGGTATTAAAGCTTGTCAACATGAGAGAAATCAAACTGCAAAAATATTTTTGAATAGATGTAACTATTTAGGAGTAATTCCACACTTCTAATCTTGTGAGAAATGAAGTAGCTTTTATTTGGAACAGAGCATCTGCACAAAGTGACTTGTTCCACACAAAATATTCTACTACAGCTCTTTGGAAAAACAAAACAAACAAAACCACAAAAACCACACAGCTGTTTTGCCACAGATTAGCCAGCATTTACCATTCCTGACTAATCTACAAAATTCAATCCAACTGATCAACAAACATGCTTATCAAGCACCAGGAAAGCAGCAGCAAAAGTGGACAGTCTCTAAAAGCAGAAATTGCCATACACAGCATCTCATGGCCCTCAAGCTTTCAATAAAGGCAGCGTCCAGACATAGAGACTCCGAGTCTATAGGCTGTCCCTATTGAAAATGTGGTTCATGTGAATGGTGCTGTTCGTGGCAATTAGTTTTTTTTCCATTTTGTAATTTTTAAAGTTCATTTAAAAAAAAATACTGAAGCAACATCACTCAGATGGCTAATTCAAGCCCTCTAAAACCAATATTAAGCAATATTAAAACTAAGGTTGGCTGTGCAAACATTAATGCATCCCACTTAAGTTATCGCTTGTTTTTTTCACAGATCACTTACGTATGTGACAAATTTGTTCCACATAAAAGCAGTTATGAAAAAGATTTTTGTACAACACTTATTTGTTCCATAAATCTATTCTATTGAGAGTTTTTCCTTATTTGTTTCAGGAATTGTACAGTGAGGCAGGGGCTATAGAAATGAAAGCTTGCTCTGTTGGTTAGAACAGCTAAAAGCTACTGATGAAAATGAGATTCAACCTCTGTGCTAATTTCCAGTTCTTACGAGTCTGAGTGAGACAACTAAGCAAAGGTTTTGAAAGGCAATAAGCTCCTAATTGGGAGCTTGATGTGGTGTGTGCACAGAAGGAAACTGCTGTCAGTAGAGAATGTGCTCAAACACTCAAGAGTGCTACTGCTCTGAAACTAAGCCTGAACCATTTTTCATGGGACATGCTTTAGTGGATAATTTCTTCTGGATCTTGCATACATCAGCTCCAGATTACGGAACAGGAGCAGTACCATCCTGTCACTTTACAATGAATATAAATTACTACTTCTGAAATTCATTGGAAATGAATTCCACAGAAAAGCACACGAAAAAAATAGAATTCTATATGTAGAAAGTGTTTGAACAGTAAGTAATAAAACACCGAGCAAAATATTGACAAGGAGTAGTTGCTTTTAGCTTGAGTACTGTCAATCTGCAATGTAAGAATCCAATGGGAAAAAAAAAAGGAACATATGATTATGTATTTCAAAGCATATGCCCAGTGGGTACAAATACATCCTGCTCTCCCTGAGAAAAGCAAAGATAAACAGAGGCTAAAACAAACGGACAAACAAAAAGCCTCAATGAACTAGGCTAGTGATGAAAATAGGATAGTACTCCTTCTCAAGTAGGTTCACATGAAATATCCAAATACTTCCCTGAGAACTATGAACTTTGATTTTACACTGGTAAGAATATGTCTTTTTGAAGAAGCTAGAAAGAAGACAATTAAATAAAATTTGCTAAGCTGAAAGTTGAACTGAAAGGTGGCAGCCAGTCCTTCAAGAATGACACTGGTGCTTCTGCATTTCCAACCTTATTCTACAATTAGGCAGGAAACATAGGATGTATCTACACATAAAAACAACAATGTCATTTCCATTTTTTTTAAATTCAGTGATAAGGAACCACTTTCTGAAAAGAAACCACTGCATGTTGCTTTTATTTAGATTTTAAGAAATCAAAGAAATCACTTCCTTTAAAAATAGTTTCAGAAATATGACAAAGTGGCTGATTGTTAAAGTAGTACCTTTTTTTCCTACATTTATTAGTGTTGACAACATACAGATATACAGATGGCAATATACATTCATTAGTCTCCACTTTTTGATCTGTCATGAAAAAAAAAATCTGAGTATTTCAGGTTTCTTACATCTCAATATCATTCTGATGCAAAATCAGTGTCCCTGCAAATTCCAATACAAGCAATTACAGTTTTATTTACAGTTAGGAACACTTACACAGTATCTTCTGCTCTTTCAATTGGATATAGTGTTACAGATTATTTTGACTCAGATGCAGTACTGTCATTGAAAAGCTGAGCTCTTCTCAAAGAGTGCAAAATGAACTGCAGCAGACAAAGAAATAATCTTCTGCAACTTAATAAGGTCAGACCTTGCAGTATTTTTTAAAGACAAATTCCACATGCAAAACTGCACTGTGCCACAAACTGCAATTAATCTCTCAAACTTCAATGAAAGGGGGATTGTAAGTGCCTACCCACCGTATGTGACTTTGTACATCTACCTGGATGTACTCTATTTCATAAAAGGTCCATATCCACTTCTGCAAAAGTCTTTAACATATTTGAGCTAATGGATGTTATATAAAATTGCTTTAATTTTGACCTATTCAAATCAATCTATACAGAAATACAGGATGCCAGTTTGGACCAGTGATCTGTGCAGTAGAGTACCCTATCTCTGAAAGAATCCAAACCAAATAATTCAGAAGTGCAAAACACCCCCATGTGCAAAATACAGGATAATCTATTTATGGTAACTTATTTTCTACTCCAAAGCATTAAGCTTTATTTCTCTTTAAAATTTTCTATCTGAAGGAATACTGTCTGTTCTAAATATATTTTAGAAGTAAAAATATTTCCCAAATTTCCATTTAAAAATGGATTCATTTTTACCAGATTCATATTCCTATTTTCTTCTCTAAATCTGTCTCTTTTCCTTACATTCAATATCCCAATGATGTTCCAGTAAATTACAATGTAGCCTTCCACATTCTTTCAATGCCTATTTTTACTTTTTTTTTTTAACTTAGAAATATTACACAAATCCATTTGATAACTAGACAACACAATTTTCAGTGTATGGCAACCAACATACTGAACTTTTAAGATTTCTCAGAGAAAAATTCTTTTCCTAAAAGTTCTGTGAGTTTCAGTATCACCAACAGCATGTTTTAAAATACTTTAATGGCAATGCAAAGTGTTGATCTTGGCAACCAATAGAAACTTTCTCAAAACAATTGATAGGTTCTCTCATACCTAGTTCATGAGCAACAAGGTAATGACACGTAAGAAAAATTCATCAGAGATTATTAAAACAAGCGATGTAATAATTTTTGGTTCAAACGGGCTTTAAAATGCAGCATATTGTAATGTTATTACAGCATAACAAAATCCACTTCATCCAGAGTTTCCATTATAACCTGTGTTTAAGGATTTTTGTCATCAAGATGGACTAAAAATTAATTGTCAAGGTCTCTGATCATCTGTTTTCCATGATACCATGAAATCTTCTCCAAAGAGATTAAAGGAGTTGGCATACATCTACATGATAAATCCATTAATGTGGTATTACCGCAATTACAATGTCTGCAAGAAATCTTACCTGCATAGAAGATTCCATCACCGATACCACAGTTACAGCATCTTCCAATGTCACAGTATCCCTAAACATCAAGCGGGCATGTGCTAGCAAAAACAAATGGGAACTGAAAGTGAGTATGAGTGAAAGTACATTAAAAGTTAAAAAGCAATTTTTGTACTACAAGGGAGATGATATTTCTTCAAACTTCTTTAGCTCTTCAAACACTTGTGTATGGATCTAACTTAAACATCACTATGGTCCTTTTGATTTTGGTGTCAATTCCAATAGGAATTGCAAGACAGTTTTACAAATAAAGAATGTAATGTGCTTCTGAATTACAGTAACAGGACAGTTTGAATAACAATGCTCAAAATGCTGTAGTTGACGTAAGATGGTAAATATGGCAACAAAGAATGTGATATAATTTATTATTTGTCAGAAAAGATGTAATTTCTTCTAACTGCTCTAAAACATGCTTTTCTCTACATAGCTTTACTTTTTCTTGTTTTCCTTTTATAAGACAGCAAAACAAAACTGATTTTTGCAAGTGGATATAATGCAAATGAAAATAATTTTCTACATGAAGCTATCCTAATTGGCTGTGGAAACATGATTCTTACTCAGCATGAGAAAGTTTAATTAATACCATCTATATAGTACTTTGAGAGAGAACAAAGTCCTACTAGAAGTCCCAAATATGAGGCACATAAGAATGGAAGAAACCTTAAACACATAAATAACATGTGAATCTTAAAAAATTATATTTAAAGAATCTTAAGAATTTATTTCAACTAAATAATTTCCCCTGAAAACTGAGACCAAAGTATAAGCATCTGATGTAGAAAGTACTACACAGCTCACTGGCATATAAAAGCATGAAGACCATTTATGATGCTTTATACAAAAATACAGTACATTCTTTTAAATTCACCTTGAAAATACTCAATATGACATTTTAGAAAATGAAATCATATTAAGATAGAGACCTATGCTTCCTTTGTTTTTGTTCTTGTAAATGAAATAAAACTTGAATTTACAGTTGGAAATGTTGTAGTCCCTACTGCAAAATACAGACTTGATTACTGATATTGAAGGAAACAAAAAAGTGTTGATGTTCTATTAATTTTAGGACAATTCCCAATAATTGACACCTTTCCTCAGGCAGAGTAGAACGGCAACCCAGGACTCAAACTAAGTAAAGTAAGTCCTCAGATCTGCTTTTCATAACGACACATATCTTTGGAGACTTTTTTCTCTAATATAATTGCTTCCAATGGCTTTAGTTTTTATTATGGCTGTGAGAACAGTGAAATTAAAATTGATTTTGATCATCCAAATACAACACTTTTTCCTACATTCAAAATCTCCAAATCTCTTTAGATCATGAAGTAATACAAGGTTCATCTATCTGTATCTCTACAGAAAAGCTGCTACTCCGCTCACTGGCTATAATTAAAGTTCCAATCTATTCATTTTATAAAGGCTAATTGGCAGCCTAAAAATAAAATTGTCCCAGCCTTACCTTCTGCAAGGCGTATCAAACTCTCCAACAAGCGAATGGTAGTTCGGGCAGCGTTCCTGCAGTCGCTCTGACGCTGCATTTGATAATAGCGTACAAGGATCAGGTTGCTCTCATCAGACAACTTTGGCTGTATCCTTTTTATAAGGCAGAAGTAGGTTTTCATCTTTTCCATGCTCCAGAGCTTTTCTGATTTGCTAGGGCAACCTGTGTAACAACTGCTTCGTCAGTAAACGTACGACAGACATGAAGCCCTTTCCTAAGAATTACTGTTAATTAGGTGGGTGAACATAAAGGACATCTTACTGTATTTCTGGGGCGTATTGGAGTGCCTGCACATTAGTCCTTGAGGACTTTGTTAAATTCCAGTGTGGAATGTTACATACCACCCAATCCCTCCCCTAACACAATCCACAGCAAAGCCTGCAGTAATCTCAACAGCAGTGCTGTCAGGCTCACTGCCCACCAGATGGTATGGTTGTTATTAAGCACTCCTGTACCGTGTAAAATGTAAAGTGCCACGTGACTGCTGTACTTCCTCTGGCTATTTTACCAGCTCCAAAGAAGCCAAAGACTACCTGCCATTTTCTGAACATTTTCTGCAGGGATACATTTTGGGAAGGGAAGAAAACAACATGAGCTACCTGAAGGAGTTCCTCTAATCACTTGATCTCTAATGGGGATCAAAGTCATGCTCCTAAAGCAGATGAGGGGCTGGTTAAAATCGAATCACACTTCCCTTCCTAATTTCACAGCACGCAGCTTTAGCACACTGTTTAAGCACTCCATGAGTCCTGTAGCACGCACAGCTCAGATTTGTTCTGTCTGAATTAAGTTTCCCACTCACAGCATGTAAAATAGTATCGTGTGTAGGATCTGCACATCAAGTAATAAGGCCAAGAGGGAAACCACCCACTTACTGAGCTGGGCTGATGGTCTGATCACAGAATAAAGGTAAGGGTATGCTGCTCACAGATCACCTCTATTAATTAATCAATCAGTGATCTCTATCTTATTCCTACTAGAAAGACAACTGCCATCATAGGCAAATACCACAGCAAACATGTGAACACCGATTCATGCAAAATGCTGAACAATAAAATACTAAAATGAAAGGTGGGGGAAAAAAAAAATAAACTAAAAAAGACTGCTCTTACCTTTATTTTGCAAGATGAAAGATGAAATTATGCGGTCCCATTCCTCATTCTTTGTATCTAATAACACTAAGACCAGGTCAAATCTGCTCAGCAGGGGACTGCCAAGAGCTATGTTGACAGAGACAGACTCAGTAGGGTCATAATGGCCTTTGGGGTTTGTTGCTGCCAGTATGGTTGTCCTTGTATTAAGCTTACATACCAAGCTAGAGAGAAGTATGATGAACAGCTGAATTAAGCTGGGAAGGGTAAATGATTCCAAAGTGTTAGGAACAAATACCATGTTTTTATGTTATAAAGAGCACATCTTACCTTCAGAGAGTGTTAAGAGCTAAACAATACATATAATTATTGTGGTAATGAGTATTACATACAAAGCTTTCTCAGTCAGAGAACAGCAACTAAAGACTGTACTCAGCACACCAAAAGTAACTAGGCGATATTCCCACAAGTCATCTTTATATACAGCTAGATCCTTAGCTGATTAAAGCTAACATAGCTTTTCAGAAACAAATGTTACTTTGTGAATTCCTACAGTATTTTTTTTTTCACAATTAAAGGTAAATTTTGTCTGAATTCACATTTTAAGAAAGCAAAATAAAATGGAGCTTATGTTTTATTCCTGTCTGTGATCACATTTTGGATATTAACCCAGTCAAACAGTGATGTCAGCCATATCAACTCTATTTCCAGGGTAATTGAGATTTTTCTCTCTTAACAATACTAACCTAATCTGTGTTGTTAAATGTGGGGCAATGTAACTGTTTCAGTTAAGGCAGCAGTTATTCTAACTTTGATTTGACACCAAGCTAGAATTTTAAAGGTAAAAGGTAAAGTTGTGGTTTGAGGTCTTCAAAACTCAAACAACTGCAACAAGGAACCCGACTAAAATACATCACTATCTTATCACGCAGAAATATTGCATCGTTTCCAACCATTTGTCCCCATCTGCACTGCTGGCAAAAAGGCTCACACTTCCTCAGATGAGGGAAAGATGATCTATTTGTTCTCTGCCTACTATTTTTACAGGGGCTGCATCAGAATTGGTTTGGGTAAAAAAGCATGAGTGAATGCATTTTTAAGAATGCATAAACTGAGCAAATTCATGCATACTTTCAATACACAGCACAGTATAACACAGTATATAACATAAGGAAAAGGTGATGCATTAGATGTCATACAGGCAACAGCAAATGTTTAGCAAAATCCCAAAAGAGAATGCAACAGACAGGAGGGGAAGAGGAGGGGAGTTGTGAAGTGGAAAAAATGGCAAGAGCACAAGAGGCTGGAGAAGGACTCAGTGCAGATGCCCAGAAAAAGAAAGGATATGATCAACTAGAGGAGACAAGAAAATGTGACGGGAGCAAGAGCAAAGTGGATGGGAACAAGGATGGATGTGGAAAGGATGGTGCCTTCTGAGTTGCAGAGACTTCAGTAACATCAGCCAGGGGATGATCGGGGCCTGGACATGAGCTGCTCATAGCTGAGAGACAGAGGTCTGAGCTGAGAGATCAAACTGGCAGAGTAAGAAGCAGCAGATTTGAATAGATATTGGTTTAAAAAGAGAGGACATGAAGGTGAGTAGGAATTTATATTCATGCCTTGCCCAACATACAAGCTGGAGCAGTCTGGAAATCCAGTATTACTAGATATTGGAGAAATGAACTCCTGCTTTATGAGTTCCAATACTAATTTCACTAGGTTCCTCATTTCACATACAATTATTATGATAGCTCCCACAAAATGACAAGAACACCTTTTTTAGGAAAAAGTCCTTGTCTAAGCGCAGCAGCAGACTGGAAACCCAGAAGTTTGGGGCCCTGGGCAGCCTGACCTAGTATTAGATATGGACACTGGCGGCCCTGCCTATGGCAGGGATGTTGGAGCCTGATGATCCTTGAGGTCTCTTCCAACCCAGGCCATTCTATGATATGATTCTATGATAAGTGAACAAGGTATGTCTATGAAATGTCGGTTCACCTTGTTGACCAATATCGCTGAGAACAAAACTATGCAGTGCAACAAAGAAAACAGCTGTAATTTATTAGCATGACTAATCTCTTCAACTTGTAAGTATAAGAGAAATGTTATTTTGTCACATATGTTAACATGCCACTTACCCTGCTTTTGCTACACTGATGGTTTGTTGCTCCATTGCTTCATGGATACTGGTTCTGTCATGCTCTTTGATGCTGTTGAACTCATCAATGCAACAAAGGCCTCCATCTGCAAGCACCAGCGCTCCAGCTTCCAAGTTCCACTCCCCAAAGTCCTTCACAGCAGTCACTGTCAAACCTGAAGAATCAATTATTCCAGTCAGTTTTTTTCTCAGATTACAGGAGCGAACTTGAGAGAAAGAATGGAACACGGCACGCTGGCCTGTGCCACAGACAGAAGGAGAAACAGCAGGCTAACTCCACCACATACCACTACCATGCATCTCATTTACACTTGCTGGTAAAAAATCCCACCAGTGTTAAGCAGGTTAGCCCTGATCTGCAGAGCAGATTCTGCTAAGCTTTCCAAACTTAGTAATTTCTTATTAACAAGGGTGAGAAAATCAAATCTGCTAGATTAAATTGAAAACTGGGATGACTGAAAAGCCCACAAATTTACAGAATGGATGCATTCAACTCTCCTTACCCACCAACTACTTAAATAGACAGATATTCCAAAGCTGAAGAATAAAACTTAGAAAAAATAAATAAATTCAAAATGAAAATGAACAAAATAAGTTCCTAGCAGGCATTAGCGAATGTACACGTGACACAACACTGGGAGCATGGAAGGTCAGAAACATTTCAAAGCTGTGGTAACGGCTGCTCACTATCAAGTATATGCAGCTCTTTTCCATTTTCCTAGTCACTACTTCCCAGCCTTTTCTCCGTCTTTAGCCGTTCTTTTTCACTCCAAAGTGCTCTGCTCAAAATATCGAGGTAGCTGACAGGCTGCTGCTAGCCTGAAACCTCCTGAAATGCTACAGCAAAGCTTGCCCAAGGATCTCCCCACCCAGCACTTCCCATGTCCCAGGGAAGAGGCTGCTGCCTGCTCATCTCTGTGCAGATCAGTCAGAAGTTATTGGCAATATATGTTTCTTGATAGTAATTTTAGCTTGTTGTGAGGAATCTCTTCTACTGTGCCCAATCTGGCCTTGTGTCTGACATGAAGAATGCTAAAAATGTACAGTGAGCAACAGATGAGGCAACTATCAGATGGTGACACTTCTTTGTAAATACAGAAGCGTAATCTCCTTTCCAAACCTGGCAGTGACTTGGAGGACTGCTAAGAGCCGAGGGCCGCAGTGCTGCTCTCACTGCAGACATGGCAGACTCTGCTCCTCGTCTGCATGGCTCAGGCAAGATGTCTGCTCCACACCTTCCTGCTGCACACTCAAGGTTTTCCCTGCAGGCACGATTGCTGCCTGACCACGTATTTATTTCCCCAGGGGATCGCTTCTCACGTTGAAGAGAAACACCTCACACCCCCAGCCCCGGGCGCGGCTCTCCCCATCGCGGCGGCGGTCGGTGACATGTCACCGCTGCCATCCCCGCACACGGCAGCCTAAAATGGCCTCCTCCCCGGGCCGCCTGTGCTCGGGGCGCGCGGCGCCGCCGGAGGCCCTTCGTTACAGCACAGCCACGGGATGACGGCTTTTTGGAGGCCGCTCACACAGCGGCCCCCGTGGGTCCGCACGGCGGGGCTGGCGCGGGCTCGGCCGGGCAGTCCCCAGCCAGCTCGTATCGCCTGACACCTCGGGTTCGCAAAAAGAATTAAAAAAGATGATAATAATAATGATGATGATGACAATCCCCGGGCAAACAAAACCAGCGCGCACACAGCACACGCCGGAAGCCCACGCGCGACCAGGGGCGCGGCCTACGGCACCCGGGGCCGCCCCTCGGCTCGGCGCTCGGCCCCGCCCGCTCGGGCCGGCCCCTCCCGCGCCGCGCGGCCGTTGGCCGGCGGCTGGAGGGCGGTTTGGCGGCGGTGGCGGGCGCTGGCCGGGCGGGGGCGCCGAGCGGCGCGGCGGGGCCGGGCGGGCGGCGGAGCCTGTCTTGCCGCCGCTCGGCGGTCGGCTCGGCTCCGCTCGGCTCGGGGAGGAGGGCCCTAGCCCAGCGCGCGGCCAATCCGGGCGGGCGCTGGCGGCGAGCAGGGCAGAATGGGCCGTAGTTGAGTGAAATAGGAAAGCTGCGAACAGTGTGGAGTGCTCCCGGTGTAAATAAAAGGGGGGAAGAAAAGTTTCCCCGAGTCGCGGCTCTGCAGCCTCGCTCCGACGGGGGCGCGGGGCTTCGTGCGCGGCGGAGACCAGCGCTCGGGACTTTGCCGTGCGGCGTTCACGCGCTCTTCCTATTGTGTTTTTTTCAAAATATGGCAAAGGTTCAGGTGAACAATGTAGTGGTGTTGGACAACCCTTCTCCTTTCTACAACCCTTTCCAGTTCGAAATCACATTTGAGTGCATAGAGGACCTGTCGGAAGGTGAGTACCGCTCTCCGGACGCGGGTTCCGCGGCCCCGGGCCGTCGGATGCGGGGCCGTGCGGGCTCCCCTCGGCCCGGGCCTGCTCCCGCCGCCGCACGGCTCTACTCCCCGCAGAGCCGTGCCGCCGCGCGGGGATGCGGAGCTGCGGCGGGGCCGCCCGGCCCGAACCCGGCGGGGAAAGTTAGCGGCGGAGCCCTCGCTCCGGGCTCTCGGCTCCGGGGCCGCCGCTCCGCTCCGCTCCCCGCCGCGCCATCGTCGAGGCCGCCTTCAAGTTGCGAGGAACTTGTTAGAGTGGTGGTAGCCATGTTGCCAGCTTTGTGTGCGCGTGGGGGGGCAGAGCGGGAGCGGGCGGACGGGCAGGGCGCCGCGCGGCCCCGCGACGCGGGAGCGGAACTGTTGCGCGGTCGCACCGCCGCGCCCGGGCGGCACCCGCAGCGCGGACAGCGTTTCGGAGCCAGCGGTGCGGGGCCTCGCTCTCCATTTTAATACTTAAAAAAAAAAAGAAAAAGGAAAAAAAAAAAAACGGAGCGGGAGGCAGGGCGGGCGGCTCTCCGTGGGCACAACGCTCTGGGCCCGGCGGGTGGCGGTCCGGGGGCGCCGAGCCGTGCCGGGAGGAGGGGGTGGCGGCAGCCACTATTTTTGGAAGTCACTCGAAAGTTACCGGCTGCCGCCGGGGGAGGCGGCCCGGCGCCGCCCTGCACGCCGCCCCGCGGGGACCCCGGAGCGGGGGACCCGGCTAAGAGCCCCTTCTCGGCCGGGCTCGCGCCTTCCCGTCCGTCCGGCGGGCCGCGAACGGCTCCCGGCCCGGTCTGGCCCGGCTCGCTCCGCAGCGCTGTCCCCGCGCCGCCGGCAGGCCGCGCCGCGCCTCTCCGCGGGAGGCGCCCCGAGAGTCCGCGCGGGAACCCCCGGGCGGGAGATTCGAACGCGGCGGCGCACGGCGAAGGAAGCTGCGCGCTGCGCGGCGGCCCCGAGTGGGGGCCGGAGCTGCCCGGGAACAGGTGCCGCTGCCGGCCCTGCCCCGGTGGGGCCCAGTGCTGCCTGCTCGCCGGGGAGCCCGGGAAGGCAACGGGAGGCAGGCAGGGAAACTCATGGCAATGGAGAATGGGGACGTTTCTGTCGCTGTCGCACAGTTTGCCTCCCTCAGCACTCGGCACGGGTTTCTGCCACGGTGCGGAGGGTTGGCGGTGCTGTCAGGAACTTTGAGAAAGTCCTGTCTGCGTTTGGGTTTCCTGCAGGCCTCTGCCACCCATCCTAAAACTGATCAGCATCTCAACTTGAGCAGCCTGTACCAGTGAGCTCGGTGCCCACCCCGATGCCTGTGGCTGCTCCTCCCTGCCTCGGGCAGTCAGGGCTCACTCAGGACAGCAGCACCTGAATCCTCACACCGTGTGGCACGCAGCGGTGCCCCCAGCAGAACAGGCACAGGGCATCGCCGTGCCTTTCCTTCGGTTGTGTGACTGCTCCTCGCTGTGTGCATTTCACACTGCAGTTAAATCTGGACAGTCAGGCTGCTAATAAGAGTGGCCCAATTCAAAATTCTCAGTTCCCTTCCCCCATATGATGAAGGTTAGACTACAGGATACATTTAGGGTAAGCACTGCTATTTTTCACGTTTAAAAATGAGGTTAAATAGCTTTTCTAAAAGAATGAATTGCTGTCATTTCCTTAGCATTTGTGTGCTAATGTCTACTCTGCTGTTTACAGCCAGTCCTGTGCACCACTGGTCTTAAAACTGAATTCTTCGAGTTCGCTTCCCCCCATTTTTAAATTATTCCATGTTGTTGTTCCTCAGCAGTATCAGATCAACCTTTTAAAGGTATCTTTCAAAGGCTTGTTTTTCAGTACTAAGTATTACTGGTTTAGAATGACTTTGTTTTCCTGGAATAACAGCAAGTGATGGTATAAAAACTTTAAGTGATCTAGCCTATAAGTCCTCACTCCTTGTACATAGCAAACTGCATAGACTCCGACAAAAGGTCATCAGCTGACCCAATGAGTACCTGCAGTAGCCCAGTAGCTAACACCAGGTGCTTATGGGGTAAACAGAGCCTCTGATGCAGAACCTGGTCAGTTGTGCTGCCCTATGTGAAGGTTTAAGGTTTCATTAATGAGGAAAAACAGTTGCAATCCTGAATGCTGGAGACATTCCTGCAGACTGAGGAAATTCTCATTCCATGTCCTAATGAGTGAATGGACCCTGCCTGCTGTAGAACAATCACAGCTTAACCTGCCTATGAAAATAGTGGGACTCTTGCAGTACTGACTGACCAGAGAAAGGTGGTGGGATGGTCTAGTTCATGAGGACTGGGGAAAGCATCATCTTCCCTCATGAAAACAAGTTCCTTATCCTTTATGCCAGTTGCTAAAGAAACAATTTTAAGCTAACCAAAATCACAGACAGTCAAGAGTGGAAGACCCTTAACTATAATGATAAATGTTTGTTATTTAATTTTTGTTCTGCAGATTTGGAATGGAAGATAATTTATGTGGGTTCAGCTGAAAGTGAAGAGTATGACCAAGTGTTAGACTCTGTTTTAGTAGGACCTGTTCCTGCAGGCAGACACATGTTTGTATTTCAGGTAAGTCTGAATTGTTTCTAAAGGAGTTACGTTATTTTGATCTTTGAAGATGACTATTGCACTAAGAGGCACTTCAAGCTTGAAAAACTTTCAGTCAGCTCTTCAGGTATCACACACCTTTCTTTAAGATTTATATTTTGCCCCCAGTATTTCCATACTAATATTTTCATTTGTAGTATCAATATAAGATACACTGATAAAGGCATAGTTCCTGTAGGTGATGATAATTTTATATAA